AATAATTAGAGCTTTAATACATCTTGTAACAAATGCCCATTTTCACTGTGGCGTTCAACGTGTTAATGATTGACCTAAAATTAAAAAAAATATATGTGGGTACCTCTTAATAGCTTTTTGATTTATTTAAATATAAGGTCTACAGGAAAGTTCTTTCCTTTTATGAATTAAAAGAAAATATTACATTTTCAATACATTTAATAATATTTACTGAACAATATAATTTCCATCGTTACTAATGACCTCTTCCCAGCGTGATGGTAATTTATGGATTCAATTTCTGTAGAAATTGGAAACTTTCTCATCTTTGGAAACTTGAAACAACATTATCGGACAGAACTTCCCGGTACACCTAATATTTTAAAAAGTTTCCAAGAAAGAAATTAAGTTTAGGGTTGTTACGTTCATTCTTCAAGGGATGTAGAGATCTGAAATTACTTAAAGTTGTTCTTTAAGCAAAAAATTTAATTTATTTGATATAAATAAATACCTACTGAAATTATTGTTGAGTCATTTTAGATGAAATTGCTTTACAACGCTTAAAAATTTATTAAGATAATATTGTATAAATTTTCAAATAATTAAGTATATTAAGTACACACATTAAAGTTGATATACTTACAATTAGTTTAGTACTTTGGGCGCCATATTATCGATATCTAAGCGTCATACCAATTTTCGTGAGGATCTGTCAACGGTTTTAGTATAAACGATATTCATTAACGAATTATAAATAATTTTTATAAATCTTTAGAAGTTTGTCCAACTGAATCCATTAAATACTACCAAAGCCTTATACTAAAATTCAGAATAAAATTAACCATTTGCAACAGGATTTTAAAAATGTAAAATAAAAGTAAACAATATTCAACGGGAATCAACACACCCATTGCGCATTAACTACATGTACATCAGAAGTGTTGCCAATTTCTGATACAATCGTTACAATTACAAATGTTTTCAACCGTATCTATAACGTTCCGCATTTTTTCTTGCGATTTATTAATTACCAAGTTCTCCATACCGTAGTCAAATCGTTATTGGCAGCATCGTTAATTCGGGTATTTTTAATTTTGAAAAGGTTGGAATGTATTTAGTATACTATTTAACAATTAAATAGGCTTTATTAATAGTTGTGGAGCATTGGTATAATTGAAACCGAAATTATTTTACATATTTGAGCGCATTTTGAAGTCGGTTGTATTTTTTGTTAAAAATTATTTTATTTCACACTTTTTAGTGGAACGCGCAGTATTTGTAGGATAGCGTAAGGTAATTTTGAATTTTTATTGCTTAACCAATAATAACCATAAACCGAAAAAAAATTGGCTTAATGAGCAACAAATTCCATAAATTTTTGCAAGTGGGATCATCGCGGATGTATATCCTACTAAATATCAAAGGTTTCATCGCGAACGATACATTCCTTAAAGAGTAAATGCCGAGAAATATAAATGAAGTATTACATTTTCTGCAATAAAAGTCGATAGCAGTGAAAAAAAGGAAAATGTGTTGTTGCGGGACCAATTGGGAGAAATACTCTACAAGGTGCAAAAGGTTTGTTTTCGATTGGTCCATCCATCTCGAAGTAATCGGTGAACATACACCGAGCGTACATGAAACAGTACGTCTTTTGCAATAAAAATCGTCAGGAATGAAAAAATTCAAAATTTCTTTTTTAGGGAACTAATCAGAGGACATACTCTACAGGATGTAAAAGGCTTCATTTCGATTGGTCCATCCATCTCGGAGTAATCGGCGAACATAAATAACAGAAATACTGATCGAATTGAGTAATCTCCTTTTTCGAAGTCGATTTAAAATTAAATAGAAGAGAGTTTTATCGAATAGGGCTGTCAAGTTTTTTTTAATTTAAGAAAAAAAAAGAACTAACAGCACGCGGAGTTCCCAAGCGGTCACCCATCCAAGTACTATCCGCGCCGAACTTAGCTTGACTTCGGTGATCGGACGAGAACCGGTAGTGGTCCTAAGTCGTATGGCCGTTAGTTAGAAATATATGGTTTACTAGAGGAGAAAACCCTTAAAAACCGAAGAAATATACAAGGTAATTAAGAAAACAATTGGTTGTTCTATCCTTCTTTTTCGAAGTCGGTTAAAAAGGGCACACAAGGCGTTAAAAATTTGCTACGTCATTGCAACCTCGATAATTTGAAAAATGGTTGAGAACTATTCACACCAGCGCTTCCCAAAGTGGGCGATATTGGCTCCTTGCGGGCGCTAAATCAATTATGGCCGGGGAGGAGGGTTAGTGACCACAGGTGCAATTAAGGGGCGTACGTTTGTCGCTGCAGCTGTCTGTTTGTTCACCTAAAGAAGGTAGATTTTCAGAAGGGCGCTGCGTAATTTTTTATCTGAATAAAATAATTTTTAACAAAAAATACAACCGACTTCAAAATGCACTAAAAAGTATGAAATAATTTCTACTTCATTTATACAAATACCCAACAGCTGTTAATAAAACCTATTTACTCGTTAAATCGTATACTAATAAATACATTTCAACCTTTTCGGAGGCGGCGCAAAATTAAAAACTTTTCTTCTACTAGGAAGATTCTAGTTCAGACGTCGGCAACCTATCAAATCATTATTGGCAGCATCGTATATTCAGGTATTTTTAATTTTGCGCCGCCTCCGAAAAGGTTCAAATGTATTTAGTATACTATTTAACGAGTAAATAGGTTTTATTAATAGCTGTTGGGTATTTGTATAAATGAAGTAGAAATTATTTCATACTTTTTAGCGCATTTCGATGTCGGTTGTATTTTTTGTTAAAAATTATTTTATTTCACACTTTTTAGTGGAACGAGCAGTATTTGTAGGATCCCGTAAGGTGGTTTACCGTTCTTATTGCTTAATTGCAATAACGATAGTTTTTAACACTAACAAGTTCCATACATTTTTTAACCGACTTCGAAAAGGAGGAGGTTACTTAATTCGATCAGTATGTATTTTTTTGCAAGTGGGATCATCGCGGAAATATCTCATTAAATGCGAAAGGTTTCATCGCGATCGGTACATGCCTTGCAGAGTATACATATGTATATAGAAACAGTAGTGAATCGGCGACTGCATGCTGACTTATCCACCGGTAGAGACACGTAGGCATACGTAGAATTCAATGTAATAGTAACAATAGTTTTTCACGAATATCTCGGAAACTAAAGCTTTCTGTTAATTATACATAAGGAAAAAGTTGTTCAGAATCATGCCCCCGACAACATATTAAAAGGTCATTGAAATCGTTCAATCTTGGGATTAAAAACTTCATGTATTTTGCAATAACAATGAAAAATGAAAATTTTTTTTTAATGGGACCAATCGGAAGACATACCCTACAAGATGCAAAAGGTTTCGTTCCGATTGGTCCATGCATTTCGGAGTAATCGGTGAACACACACAGAAAAAAAAAAAAAAAGAGAAGAAAAATACATACTGATCGAATTGAGTAACCTCCTCCTTTTCGAAGTCGGCTAAAAAGTGATCGGCAGTATCAAATCTGACTTACACCCTTTTAATGTAAACTCTTATGATCAAAGAGGATACACTTTTTGGATATGGAATCTCGCTTCTCTAGTAAATTAACATAATATTAGTTACTTAATAGTTAGGAAGATTTGAGGACTTATACAATACAATAGCACATATACGTGCTGTAAGAAAACGCAACCTTAAATTAATAATTGTGATTAAGAACTACCTTAAAAAATAACTTACAATTAGAGATAAATTTTATTATTAATGAAGTACCATAATTTTACAATGATGTAATGAATGAACCTTTTTTTTGTGAAACAGGAAACTTGGAACATTTTTGAAATACTGCATCATATCTTTTTCTCAAACTGAAGAGGAAGTTGATTAATATTCTTAGTAAGAAACGACTAAATATAAATGACAGGTGAAAATAAAGTGCTGATTAGTTGGAAGTGGCGTTGAGACGCAATTTTTGGCGTTGTGACCTCGAGTGACATTGTGAGTCTCTATAGAACTTCAGTTGACAAACGCCAAACTTTATAGATGCACTATTTCAGGCGACACTATTTTAATAGACATTTCCCAAATTGCAATGGTTCCTGCACTGTTTAATTGCATTTATTGGCAACGCGTCAAACTTCCGTATATCCGGCCTTCGCCGGAATCTACTTTTCGCGTGCTTCGAATTTTTTTGATATTACGGGTGACGCTGATCGAAAATTGTATTTCTGGAACTGCCATATATATATATATATTCCTTGGGATATTGTGTGTGAAGGATTTCCAAGAAGATGATGTTGATTAAGTAACGTCATCGCGTAAAATATTGTCTTCTAACACTAATTGATGATTTATATAAAGGAAATCTGTTCATTTCTGATAATTTTATTGACTTTTTAATAATTTTATTAAATCTCTGCAGTGATCAGGGCCGATTCTAGAAATTCTGCCTCCGTGTAATAATATATTTTGCCGCCCCTAAGAAAACTTTTACAATGACGTCTGAGGCTTCGCTCTCCCGTCAATCTCGTGCTGAGATTTGCGCCGAACTGGAGGTTACCATGCAGTCATCATTGGTATCATTGGAAAGAACACATTTTGAAGTTGTACAAAAATTCTTGATTTTTCAATTCCTATGGCTAGATTTTAAATAATCTCAAAACCGGTTTAGGTGTGTTTTTCGCTATCTTAACAGCTAAAACAAGGCCTTAGACATTCACCTGGAGTTTAGCCTGCATACTCTAGGTTTCCTAGTAATAAATTCTAAATAGTAGTATTAATTAATAAATAGTTAATAGAAAATAATCATTTACCATATATTTTGCAGAAAAAGACATGTTGTAATATAGTAATCCTCTAATTATTTTAAAAAACGTATTTATTTAGATTCATGATATTATCAACAAAAATAATTTAACAAAAGAAAGTACCTTTAAGGAAGAGTTAACACATAATTTAGATTTATTTTATAACTTTTTTTTATGTTTCACTATATTTGAATTTCGTATAGCTTAAATGAATTTTACGGTCTCCAAAAATTTGCCGCCCTTTCCATATGCACATGTTGCACCTTCAGTTGGACCGGCCCCAGCAGTGACCAACACTACGAATTTACTTCAAATAGTTTTTGATATTTTGAGGATGAAAAGCTGCTCAGTTTGACAACAGTATATGCACAGGATATTACTCATTTAAAGTAAAATGAATAATAATTCCATTTTTCAAACTGTAAATGGAATAGTTGCTCTGTTTGCAAACCCAAACTATGTTTGCAAAAACATATGCGTATATTTGTCGAATATATGTACGAAAGTTACTATGATAATTCTATTTGAATGGATATAGATATTCATCGATCATCTGCAAAGAATTAAAACAGTAAATATTTGATAGTGCGTTTCAGCATGAATTTAATAGTTTAAATAGAACTTTTATTAACCTTCGGACGGCGGACCATGGAGAGAGCACCAACTTCAATTTAATTTTGTACTTCATATTGTTTTCATTTTCTAAATTTGACCCTGTTATTTGAAAAATTATTGTTCTAATATATGAAACACTTCCGTTTAAAAACTATATATAATACTTTAGGTTAATATTCTTGTATATGTTTTGTAAGTTTGAGTCACGATTGACCTAGGCTCTTTATACAAATAGTATACTTATTAAAATTTTAAAAACTAGGTTTTGTCAATTATCATGAACATGAAAATATGGATACTCTTTGTCAAGCATTTATAAAAACGTGCTTGAATATGTAACAGCGATTTTACTGAAATCTTAACTATATCAAGATAGGTTAGGAATGTTTATTCAATGTTTTTGATATGTTTAGATATATTCCAGATATATTTATTATCTAAAATTATTAAAGAAGACTAATTCAAATTATATTAAGTAATAATTAATTATTATTAGTAAAGGAGTAAAGCATTCGTATAACAATTTTATATACGATTTTTTATACTTATACATGGGACATACTCATAAAACATAATAATATATATATTTAGTCTTTAAATACCCGAAATTTGTAGGAACAGTTTCCGTTCCAAGTTTTAATATTAACCGAAGTTACACATTAAAGTTAAAGACAAAATGTAATTACTTTTGGTTGCTGAATTTTTCTAATTGCATTTTACAAATTTGTATATCATAATTTTCACAAAATTTAATTTCGATAAAGCACCAATGATATTTACAAAGCGGCAGTAATAACATTGCAAAAGTTCAGAAAGCCATCATAAAATACAGTGAAGATCACGAGTGGCTAAAAAAATATACACCGTACATTTTTATTTTTATAATGCATGCGCGAAAAAATTCGTGCATATGAACGCAGGATTACTAAAACGGTACTACAGAGATCTAACGAATAAAGAATCAAAAGCAAGGGTTCACATACAAAAGTTTCTTCAAAATAAATCAATTTTTGTCCTATATATAATTTATTTTATTATAAAAAAGATTTTAAATTGTTTCAGATGCAAATTTTTTTCTGTAACTTTTCAAAAATTTAATTTTGAACATTAATACAATGTTTTTAAGTTATAAAATTGCTAATAACCAACAGAATAAATATCATGGTAATTATAAAAATGATCAAAATAAAGATAAATGGGAAACCCAAAATTAAAAAGATTTACATGTTAAAAATAGAAAAAATTAAAATAATGAATTATGTGTGTGTTTTCGTTAAACAATTTTGATATCATCCCTTCAGTTTACATGTAATTTTGAATCAAAGAATATACCTAAAAATTGAAACTTGTAAAATTCCTAACAGAAGATTTTAAGCACAATTGCACGTGAATTTTTATCACACATCACAAAATTAATAGAATATCTACTTATTGTTTCTCGACAGCAGCAATAGTTACTTTAACATGTGACAAAAAGTTTATTACGTAAGAGAAAAAAAGTTAATTGAACTTTTAGTTACGCTTGCGTTTATTGCAACACCTGTTCAAAGCTACTGCATCGTTTCATGAATCAAAATTGCAAACGCCAATTAAACTTGTACATTCTACTGCTGTTCAGTTTGTACGGTAAAAAATTGTGCGATGACATAATGTTATAAAGCGCAGTTATGTAAGAAGTTTCAGAATGTATTGGAATATTCAGAAATATCAACATTGTTGTACGATGTTAGCTTCACTGTTCATTGTTCTCCTTACAAAAGAAATTTTGTGGGTTTATAGAGTGATTTAACATAAGAGTAATGATGTGCCTAATTCGTAACCAATCGCCATTTAACAGTATAGAACCTAACCTCAAAATTAAATGATTTCTCTCACCTATCTATAAATTACTCTTAGTGCAATGTAAAAAATTTTTGAAATGTTAAAGCTCAAATTGACGAGGGTTATCTCCAGCTAGAGTTTTGAGGCTTTCAGGATTTGGATTGTTTCGCTATGTATTGTACACTGACAATGAGTTGCATTGAACTTGTTGCAGTGAAGTTGGCCACGCATTCACTCATCGACACGGCGTGAATGTGTAGTGAATTTGTAGCCAACTTCACTGCGACAAGTTCAATGCAACTCATTGTACACTTCGATGTCTGAAGCTTTTCGGTATGCCTATGTACACATTAAACACAATCATGTAAAGTATAGTAGTACTTACAAAGTATGACCATTGGTGTAATTACATAGAGGCTAGGATAGGCTTGTCCCCCCGCGCTGCCGCCCTACCCAAATGTGGATTGACCCCTCACTATTCTAAAATTTTAACATTTCAGATTACCAAGATTCAAGACTTTTTAAATATTTGAACCTTCTAATTTCAGAATTCCAAAATTCAATATTTCAAACTTTAAAATTTTTTAGTTTTTAAGAAACTTGGTCTACTTTAGAATAAAATCAACTGTTCTTGAGTGTAATAGTGTTAAGTATACCGATTTTTATCTAATTACTTATTCTTTGGTTACACAGTCATGTGCATCTTGTTTTTGCCTTTAGTTATGGAAAAGCGTAGAGAAAGAAGTGTTCCACCACGCGCCTTATTCACTCTTGTTCTTTATGTGTGAGAATGAAATTCTATAACATAAATACACAAAAACATATTTAACCTTTAAACTGCGAACAGCAAAAACAGTAATAATTTAAATTTAATTTTACATTCTATTTCTGAACCTTAAGTTATTTCTTTACTCTTATTTATTTACTCATTATTTATTTACTCTCATTTGTTTATTAATCACATCTATACAATTTTTAATTCCTTACTTAACCAGTCTTATTAAATTCATAATGGATAGTTTAAATAAATGAAGAGGTAAAGTTTACTTTGATGGACGCAAAATTGTTGTATTTGACGAGTAGAATCGAAAAAAGAATCTGCTAGTTACAAAAGAATGTATTTTCAGCGTATTTTAACAGGTTATTTGGACGCCATTTTGACTTCTATCCGTAATTCGTCCAATAAGCGGAGTCGCTGCTTCTAAATAGATCACGTGTCCGCAGTCATTTTAACAGGAAGATCAAATAGTATTGTCTCTAGTTACATGTGTTTTATAAATGTTGATTAACGAAGTTCATTAGGTTATATATTTTCTAAATTAAATATTTTCAGTTTTCTTAAGGGCATCTTTTTTCCTTTGAATTAAGTAAGTTCGATGATCAAGATAGATGTAGATAAAGACATTTGATTTCTCCTGCCAAAATGGTCACCACTTATGTGATCTGTTCATAGGCAGTGACTTCGCCCATTGGACGATTTGGGGGAGAAGTCAATATGGGATCAGAATAACCTCTTAAATTATGTTAAACACGCCCAATTTTACGTAGGTATAACTTTTGAATACGTGAATCCATGAGTTTAAAACTATTATTCTTGGATTCTATTGTAAATACTATTGGACTGTTAAAATAAAAGGACTTACCTTTTCTGTCCCCTAAAATATAGTTTAACCAAATTAACTACTATGCATTTCTTCTACTACTTTCCGACCCATTGTTGGGATTCTTTTCAAGTTGTTACACATGTTTATTTCAGCATTCTATATTGCACATGATATTCAGAATTACGTCTTATAAATAAAATATAAATATATGAAAAATATAACAACGTATTTCACTGTACAATTATTTCTTAAAAATTATCTTTTAAATTATTATTAATGCGCACGATTAGGATTTGAAATACAAATATTAAAATGATGACTAAACTCGTGACTCCTCGTGGATTTTGCTTAAAAATTCTTAGTATTCTACCATAGAGGAATTGAAAAATTGCCATACATGTAGTGCAAAATTATTGTCTTTAATTTAGCTGATTTCAATAAAATATTGTTATTTGCAGAATTTCAATAAATAATTCTGTAGAAAAGAAAGTGAATTTACTTATCAACCAAATAAATATCTTAATATTTATACATACAAAATAAAGATATAGTATTGAAAAGCATCTGATTGAATTGACAGCATAGTGAAGTGTACAAGATTTAACAAATAACAAAACTATCAGTGTAATATAATTACGAAACCAGTTACCACGTGGGAACAAGTTCCCGGCGTGTTGACGGTATCGATTACGTTGCATTACCTTCCGTGCCTTAATTGCATGTAATTAAAACGGTGAACAAGTTTAATGATCAAACAGAGACACGACGGTGCACAGATTCTCATCTCATGAAAACAAAAAGAAAAATAATGAGGAAAAATGAAAATCTTGAATATAAAGGAAATGCACCAGAAATGAATATAAAAAGGTTGTTCCACGATCGTGGACGATACTTTTGACTTTCAAACGATAATGAACTGGTCCGTATCAGTTTTATCCGGTAAAATAATCGAGCATGTCTTACGACATCTTTCATTGTACAGTAATACATTCGTGGCGACCAATGAAGCCAAACAATTGCTTTTTAATTGGTGATGTGTGTCTCGACAATTGAACTCATGAAGTTTGAAATAAGCGCGTCGATTAACCAGTACAATAATTTATGAGCAGTCATTTAGCACTGTTTCAGCCTGTTTCCGCATGATTATTAATGTGTTCGATGTCGCGAGTGATTCAGAAATCTTTTTTCTTTTTAATGCGAACTGATTGTACACACGAGTGACAGATAAAGTTTAAAAAGTGCTTAGATTGATTTTGCAGATACTTTCAGAGAATAATATTGAGGGTAAGAATAGTTAATTGAAATAAATCGATGGTATAATGTTATCGATTTGGTTTCTTCCTTTTTAGTTAAGTTTGATACAACATTGTCAATAATCATTGTAAAACCTGGAATATTTAATTAGATACAATTCCAATCAGGTACGGGGATTAAAGAATTAATATTTTAATTAAACAATAAATTCTAACTGAACTTTGTAATTAACTGTAGGAATACCTGATAAAATATAATTCTAATTAGATATAGAAAATAGACTAGTTAAGTTTATAAATATATTTTACAAAATTTTCTAGTTAACTATAGCAATGTATAATTAAATAATAAAAACTTTAATTAACGATAGGAATACCCAATTAGGCATAATCTTAATTAAATACAAGAATTAAATAATTAAAACTCTAATTAAATAATGAATATAATAATTATAAAAAATGCATTGAAAGCTTTTAATCAAATACAGGAATATTTTTTCGATTAAATATAGAAAGATTTATTTTTAAACAAATTGGTATCTTTTAAATGTATATCACGAATTTCTAAACATAGCATATTATTTAACTGAAAATTAAGCATCACAAATTTTTAAATTGTACATATTTAACATACTTTATATTTGAAATTGTAAAAGACGAAAATATTGTATTCTACATTCGTAATCAAATCAGGCGTCACATGGAAAAATGGTGATGTCCTGGGTTCTCGTCCTTTCCCATAAGCGTCCCCATGGAGAATGACAACGTAAGGAAGAGGCTCCTGTATAAATTGTGACCCATTCGGGGGTTCACTCTATATTACAATCTTAATTTCGTTGGGCGCTAGCCACGTTTCGTGGCGAGGAGGAATAGGGAGACAATAAGGGGTTATTGCAGGGGACGGGTTTTGCGGCACTTCCGGGATGGCCGTAACAATACTTCGCGGGGGAGTGCGCAAGGTGGATAGTTTAGGGTGAGGAAATCTCAGGGTGGGAAGGGTTCACGGGAAAGTTCCTTTACGTTACGCGTCGAGGAGGGGTCAAAATAAGGGAAATTTAAAGGGGAGTGGAAAAAGGGGGGTACGACGAAATCGCGGAGTATAAACGAGGGGACGAAGAAGGTAGTCGGACTCAGTATTCACAATTTTGGGTAAATAATAATATAGGGGACTCATCGGTGTTGCACACCATACACAAACACTCACGACTATTCACTTTACAAAACTCCTCTAATCGCTTACTCAAAATTGCTATATCGCTTAATCGTACGCCGTAACGCAAAGTGACGGGTCGTCGTCGCGGTATCGGCGACGAGCCCGTCGTAGGGAATTTTGGGGAGGGGATGGATGGGGATTTGGGACATCTTCCGGGCCTGGGGTTGATCCATTATTCATCGGCCGGTAATCGGGATCGATGGGGCTGACGGATCCTTGACGGTGGCGGGTGCGGGCTGAGGTCTTCGGGCTCGGCGACAGATGGCTCCAGCTGGCTCTCTTTTGCTACTGTTATTTGATCTCGGGGTCCATCGTTATTCCCTTTCCTGTGAGGGGTTGGGGGTCTGTCGCCGGCCTCGAAGCTCCTCTTGGGGTTGTCCGCTTCTGGGGTCCTTTTCGTCGCCTCCATCGGCCCGATACCGGCGGGCAGGGAAAAAGGGGTAAGGTGAGGGAAGGGTTTTTCGGTGGGTTACGGGGTTAGAGTGGGAAGTGGAAAAGCGCAGCGATTGTAACAGGGGGGGCACACGTGACACCACGTTACAAAATATAGGAGTTTGGCTCTATTGTTATTATTATTGTTGTTG